AGAATAGAGAAATAGTGTAATATATATATATATATATATAAATATATAGCTTTTGTGGTTGGGGATTTACAGGTGAAGAGTTAAATCTCAAGAAATTTATATGAAATATAATTCACAAGGAACCGTTTGGTCATTAAAGACTGTTCCTTTACATCAGCCCTTTATTTTTCAGAGAATTATCAGTTCACCTTTTGAATTCTTTAAAAGTGCTGACCTCCACTACTGTTGATACAACTCATTCCATAATCAGTTACTGCTAGAAAAATATAATTGTCTTAACTGAAGCCTAGCATATATTCCAGGTATTAAATTTGTGTTCTTTGGTCCTGTTGGCTTCAAAATATACCACAAAGATATCACAAGCCTTTATTCTATCAGTCCTCAAGATAATATTGCAAACTTCAATAAGATCACCTTCTTTTACCTAAAAAAAAAATATCTTGATTGATCCCTTGAAGATAACCCTTCATCCCTGGAATCATACTAGTAGTCCACAAGTAAAATTTTTTTATATTCACATCCTCTACATAATACATAAAAATTGAGGATGTCCCATTCATCATACATTTCACCAAACACCAATCTGCTTATACACAGTCCTCCAGTGGAGCAGCAGTAGGTTTATAGATTTTCAATGCTGAAATCTGAGGCTCAATTTTTTGCAGTGGACAGACCTAAGACATCCTTTATGTGGCTTTGAGATAAGTCAAATCTCACATTGAAATGTCAATATACAACTTTGATTCCCAAAGAACTCTCTCAATCCTGTTGTGTCTACCATGTATGAAGGCAGTCTATTACAAAAACTGTCCAATTGTTCTAAACTGTTCTAAAGATAAAATTGCCTAGTTTCCAGATGACTTCTACCCTGTCAAGCCTTAAATTTATATCCTCTAGTCCAACCACTTATCATTAAACAAGAAAAAATAATGCATCAATCCTGTCTGTACCTACTATAATTTTGAATGCATCAACCGTATCCCTTTTTGACCATTTCTCAAAAGAAAATAAGTGTAAGGGCCTTAACCTGTTCTCGTATGAAAGCCCCTTCATCTTGGGAATCATCCTAGTAGCCCTCATTTCTAAAAATGTCCTTCTTAAAATAAGGAGGCCAAGCCTAACACAATACTCTAAACAAGGCCTAATCAAAAAGAAATAGTAATTCAATAATTTTATTCTTTAATATTCCGGTAGATAGAACCCAAAATACTATTTGCTTCAATGGTAACAACTTCTGCCTGGAAGGCTTAACAAACTGATCAACCAAAACACCAACTATAATTTCTTGTAATGGTCCATACAATTCAAATTAATTGGGTTTGAGATTGATAGTCCAACTTCAAAATTTTCTTTAATCACTTCAAATGATTAATAAAGGTGTACATTTATAGTTACCTGAAAGTTAAACAAAAGTGTAAGTATAACAGTTATCTAACAAAAATTGTTCTTAAAACAACTGCAATGGCAAAATCCAGGTGAGGCTTATTGCTCCTGATGCATATGTATTGATCTTCCTCAGTTGTGAGGTGGTTGCAGCAGGTGTCACTGTGGTTAAACTTTTTATTATTTTTATAGCATGTTGAGTGATCTATTTTACATTGCTAAGTTACTAACGTATTTTTATAGTTATTTATTTTCATTTCTTAATATTATTTTATAATGATTTTGTATATTTTTCTAACTTACTTACTGGAATGTAATTTTTTGTTTACTAGAATACTTGTTTTTAAAATGTGTTCAATATGACTTTCATACTTTCTAAAAAGCATTGATGATAATTTTTTGATCTTAGAGAGTCCAAAAGTAAAGCTTTATCATTTCAGTACTGTTGATTCTATATTAAGTTTTTCCTGTTCAGTTGATCCTAATTTGACATTTTCTCAAGTTATTAGGGCCCCTATGCCTACTAGTGCTTCTCTAAATGTTTGCGCTCCAGGAGCACCAATTTATTCAGTATGAAATATGTCATATCAAGACATGTTACACATCTCTAATAAATCAAAGCATGAACTCCAAGTATTTAAGTGTTATAATTCATTTCACTGGTTAAGCAGGTGTATCAAATATAAATTGATGTTTAACCTCAGTGATAATGATATGTTACTGAAAATTTTAGATTTTTCTTATCTGGGTCAGGTATTCTATGTATGAGGACTTGTACAACATGGAAACAATTTGTATAAAAATTATCACAAGCTTATTTTTGTTCTATGAGAATTGACATCACATTATAATATATCTTGCAGAGATATCAACAAAGTAATGAATGAATAACTTCTTTTGTAGTAGATATACTAATAGCTTTTCAAAAGTTAAATTGTCCATTTTTGGACTTGGAATAAATAGACATTATCCATTAGAGAGTGCTTAGTCAGTATTAGTTTGTATTGAGTTTTCCTTCTACTTATTTGGTAAGAGATTTACTAGAAAGAGTACATAATGTTAGTGACTTGACTAATTAAGGATCTGGACTAAATTTTGACAGAAATAATAGACTTCAATATGTTTTTTGAGAAAAAAAAATATTTCTTGTGATTCTCTTAGACATTTGGTCAGGAGTTATATGTCACAAAACTCAAGATTGTCCACCAAAGATGGTATTTGTTCTCATAGACAACAGGAAAACTTCAGATGGGAGAGAAATTAGAAGGGGTTTCTTTTTCCACTAAACAAAGTGGAAAATCCTTTCATATCCCAGTTAACATCTCATCAAGAATACCTTAATACTGCACGTGAAATACAATTTTTAAATAGGTCGTAATATATTTAAAGATTTAACTTACACAGGGGTTTCAATTTCTTTTCTTAATTTAAATTTATTCTCTGATGAGAAAACCTTTCCATACTCTGGAGGCCCAATTGAAACAACTAATGGTGTACAATATATTCCAGTAGGTATATATTATTGTAGATTTATTTTTTTGTGGTTGTATATTTAATCATACAATCATTATTTTGTCAACTATAGTCTGTAATGTTATTTTAGGTTATAGTTTTTTGAGTAAATGTCATATTACTTTAGGACAGTTATATTTTAATATGTCTAATAACCAAGTGTATACCTAAATCATGGGATCAACACATAGTTGAAGGAATTGAATATCTTGTTTAGCCATAAATCAACTGTTTATCTCCAGATGTTAGGCTAAATACAAATATAATGTAAGAGGGTGACGAATTAAACCTCAAATAAAAGGAAAAATTAAATCTTTTGCTGCAAAATAATCTTCTTTTTTTTCTGATAAACCTGGTAAAATGAGTGTGTTTAACACATATTAGAAACTGAAAGATGAATAAATCAAATGTTGATGGATGATATCATTGAATCTTCTGTAAACCCATACCAATTATTGTTGTTCCAGAGAAAAACTTGGCGGATACCAGATTCTGTGTTGAGTACAGAAAATTGAAGAAAGTTACAGTTAGTTATCCATTGTTATGCATAAATAATGCACTCAATCCCTTTGGCACAATAAATTTTATTGGCACTTTAGACTTGTCTTCAGGTTACTGGCAAGTGTCTATAATTCCCAGATCGTAGATACAAAATAGCATTTATGTTTAATTGTGGTTTTACATTATTGCCATTTTAACTATACCATGCATCTGCAATGTTTCAGAGAATAACGAACAAAGTTTTTAGAATTATTACTTTCTAAATGTGCATTAGCATATATATAGATGAACACAGTTGTAATTTCTCCTCTATTTACCAGTATTTATTGGACCTTCAAACAGTTGTTGATAGGCTTGTCTTAGTTGATTTAACAGTAAAGTTAAGTAAATGTCATTTCTTTAGATTTGAATATCCCTTATTTGGACACATCATAACAGAAGCAAATCCTGGTAAAATTAAAGCTATTAAATATTTCCATGGATCCAAGAGAGTTAAAACAGGTGAATGAATTTCTTGTATTAACTAGGTAGTACTTTAGGTATGTCTGAAATTATGCAACTTTGGTTGAACCTTTGACAAAGCTTACTAGAAAATTATTCATCTTGTGTGGTCCTCAGATTGTCAAAATGCTTTTCAAGTATTGAAGAAATACTTGTATAAAGAACCTGTCTTGAAATTTCCTGATTTTCAGAAAAGACTACATTATATATTGATGCTTTATATATGGGTTTAGGTACTTTCCTTGTTCAAGATGCTGATAATTCTGAAGTTATTTCTGATGCTAGTTATGTTCTGCATCCAAGCAAACATATTTTATTTATAACTGAAAGGTAATGTTTAACTATAGTTTGGGCTCTTGAACATTATCAACCATACTTAGAAGGATGCATATTTACTGTATTTTCTGTTCATAGTGCCCTATGGTTATTTGATTGTCCAAAACTGACAGATGCTTGATAATGTGGATCTTAAGACTATAAGACTTTGATTTTACAGTTGCATAAACCTGGAAAGTTAAATTGTGTACCAGATGTATTGTTTAAGAATTCTGTTGAATGTGATAATGCTGAAACAATCTTGTCTGTTCCCTCTATAACTGTATTATGTTCCAGAAACATTAGAAAACAACCACTATTATTTTTAAATGATAAAGCTCATCTTGGAACCTCACAACTGGCTGATCCAATAATTGATCTAATCCTTAAAGGAATAAGAAAACAAAACCCTACAAGATAATAGATCTTCTATGTTATACAAAACACAAGATAATCTTTTGTATATTGTCAGTCTGGGATCAAATAGATAATAGCATATTCAAATCATTTAAACTTATACATTCTTGAATTTTTATGAGCAACAGTAATAAATAATTACCACGATCGTCCATTAGCTGCCATCTTGGAATAACTAAAACCATTTTTAGTATATAACAAAGAGGTTTCTGGCCTGGTAGTTGACAAGATACAAAACAATATGTTCAATATTATTTTGTATGCCATTATTATTGCTGATTGTTTTATGATTCCTGCTGTTCCAAGATATCCATAGCCTTGCTTGTGTTGGTCCATTACCATGCATTGAAAAAAAGATACCAATATATCTGTGCACTTGTTAATCATTTCACCAACTGGGTAATGTTGTACCCTATCTTAGAAGCTACAGCTTAAACTGTTGCACATTTATTAGTCTATGAAATAATTGTTTAATACAGTATACCTACCAAGTTAATATCAGATAGAGGAACTCAATTTGTAAGTGATTTGTTGAAAATAATGCTAAGACAATCAAACACAGTAAATGGGATGAGTTTTTACTTCAGCAACTGTGATGAGAAGTGCTCCTTGTGTAAGTGCTGGTGAATCCCCTGGCTTTTAGTTTTAAGAAAAAGATTTGAAATTTCCTCTTGATTTGTGGGGCCATGATGCTGTTGAGAAACATTCTAGTACTTCACATACAATTCAGTTATATAAGGTTTCATTGCTAGAAACTTTTTGAGACTGTTATTCCTTTGTTTTGCAACAATTGAATAAATTACATGCAAAACAGAAAAAAATATTGTGATTATTGTTGTTGTTCAGTTACTTACGAAGTTTCAGATTTGGTTAGAGTTTGTATTCACTTCAAATCTTGTAAAGATATTAGTTTCACTGAAAAGTTGGGTCCTGTTTATTGTGGTACACTTGCATGTTTACCAATGATGCTATCTGTACTACACTAACATAAAAAAACAATCAACTTGTATCAAATTATTCAATATGTGCGATACCTAAAACAGATCTAAAGACTTTACTAAAAACAGAAACACAATGACTGATTAACTGTACCAGCTAGAAACAACTCTCTATCTTCTCTACTATCTTTTTTTATGCTTCATTGAACCCCATATTTACTAGAAAACTGATAATAAATCTTTTAGAATTTTCTTGATGTTGTAGGCCTATCTTAACATCATCATTACAACCCACAGCTACCTCTAGCTAACATCTAAATTACAACATTAAAAATATATCTTTTAACACCATGTTGGAAGCTTTTTTAACTGTAGGTGCACTTTGATCTCATGTAGTAAGGCTGGATGAGTTCTTTTCTTAGGGCAACTACCTTAATGTGATGAGATGGATTTGGTAAGTACTTCTTATTGGGGATGTACCTTTATATCAGGTCTTAAACAACTCAATATATGTTTCTGGGGTAATATTGGTTTTTAGTGTCTAGTCTTCTTCCATCACCTGATCACTTCATGTTTATTTCTGGATCATGGTTACATGGTACCATGATCCAGAAACTGGCTCTTCTCTTTTCATGATTACCATAATGCCATTTTACATTGGGTCATCAAGAAATGAATGTTGTTGTTTTTTAGATGAAAAAACCTGAACAGCTTGTATATCAAAACAAGACTTTTATTAAATGAAATAGTCTCCATTCTTATTATTGATGCTTTTCCTTCTTACAATCAGGTTGTTAATGCCCTGATT